AATATAATCTATTTGAGGTTAAGTACTATTTATGGTTTCAAGGATCCAGTGAAGGTCTTGAGACAGATGCCTTGCAGATTAGGGGGATTGTGCCTTCAGTATAACAAAGCCATTGGGCATTTCATTGTCCTCCAGCTTCCATTGCAGCTGCTGAAAAGTCAGCTGTCAATCTGTTGCTCTTTTGTTTAGACAATACACTTTTTTTTTTCTGGTTTGGTTTGGGGACTTTTTGTTACTGTTTGATTCATTAGTTCTCCCTCAATCATATCTATTCTGATATTAAATTCTTCCATTACATTTCACATACAAATTTCTGTTTTATGAAGATATTCTCAAGCATGTCCTTGTAGCCCATGTCTGATCATTCTAACATTTGAGCTTTGTCAGGTTCATTTTATTCATTGTTCTGGCTATATGTCACCCATGGAGTTGGCTTCCTCATGGGTCTGATTATCTTTGACTACATGCCAGGAATTATTTTTGAAACAAAATTATAAGAATAATTCAAAGCTTACAATGAAAATAGTTTCATCATCAGGGGATTTGTGTTCCCCTCTGCTAAGTGCCTAAGAGCACAACCATTTAAGACTGCTGTCAATCCAACCCAGCACTGGAGACTCCCTGGTTTCCCCAAGCAACTGGAACCTGGCTGAAACACACCTTGGATTTCTCCATATCTCATGCAGCTACTTGTGAGTGGTATACGGTCTCCTGTTAGACTAATTGGTCTCTGGGCCTCTCTCTCTGTGCCCTCATCCCATAAGGCTGTCAAAACAAAGGACTTGACTTTCCTGAACTACTGGTCTCCCTGAAAACATCAGTAGCTTTGCGCTTCCCATCCCTTGGGGTCCTCACAAGCCCCACAGATTGGCCAGGTACTTCTTATAGTCTTGTTATCTCTAATGCCTTTACAGTCCTTCTTTATACCTTCTCCAGTCTTTTGATTTGTTTTCAAATGAGGAGCTGATTTAAGTAACTAAGCACACCATTACTGGAAGATGGAAGCCCTTGAATTCCTGTTTAAAACAGATTCATTAAGATACGTCCTAAAGCCGGGAGTGTATCTCAGTAGTAAGCGCTTACCTGAGTTTAGTCCCCAGCACTGAAAAAAAAGATACAATTTAGATTCTATGTAATTCACCCATTTAAAAGTTAATGATTTAAAGATAATGATTTGGGTGTATGATCTTATTTATTCTCTTAATTATGGTAAATATACATGTATGACAAAAATTTGCCATTTCAACCACTCTTAAGGGCATAATTCCATGGTGTTAATTATATTTACATTATCACAGTACTGTCAGCACTAATTCCAAGACTTTCTCATCACTCTAAAGGGAAACTGGTAGTCACCAAACACTAACTCCCAAGAGCCACCCTCTGTGCAGCTGGCAGTACACGCTGGGCTCACGCCCATAACTCTCCATCCCTCCCACCCCGGGAACCTCTAATCACTGTCTGTCTTCATGAATTTGCCTAGATGTTTCACACAGGGTGATCATATGCTGTTTTCCTTTGGGGATCTGGATTCTTTCCCTTGCCATTATCTTCAAGGTTCATCCACACTGAAGCATGTATCAAAACTTCCACTTTCTGGTCAAAAAATATTCTGTTATGTGCACACATCACACTTTGTTTATCTGTTCATCTGCTCATGAACACTTGGGTTATTTCTACCTTTGGGCCATTATGAGTAATGCTGCTGCCATCAATGTTGGTGTGTACACATAAGTCAGCCCTGTACATCTACACGTGCCACATCCCTGGACCCAAAATATTCTTCCAAAACTACTGTGTACTGAATTCCAAAAGTATTGTGACTTTTTTTTCTTAAATTCTTTTATTGGTACATTGTAGGTATACAACACAATTACATTTCTCATTAGGAACTTGTACCTTTACATGATGCATCTTGGTTCTTATTTTTTCCCCATTCCCAGCCCTCCCTTCACCCCCTCCACTTTTCCCTATTTACAAAGACTTTATTTCCATTTTTTCCATTTCTCATCTTTTTTCCTTCCCCTTCTTTCCTTTCCCCTGCCCCTCCCACTACCCCTACCCATTTGGACCTTTTCTTCCTATTTTGCATTATCGATTATTCATTCTAATCATTGGTACATTTTAGGTATACAATATAATGACATTCATCATTGGAAATTTGCACCTTTACATAATCTCTCTTGGTTATTTTTCACCCTTGCCCAGGCCTCCCTTCAACCCTTCCATTCCTCCCTATTTACAAAGATTTTGTTCCTATTTTTATAGCTAAGTGGATGCATATTGAGGTGATACTTTTAAGTGAAATAAATAGGACACACGTGTAAATACCGAATAGTTTCTCTGGTGTGAGAAACTGAAAGTGTAAATAAGGACTAAAAGGTATAATAGATAATGTGAAATAGGAAGAAAGGGGGCAAAGGGGAAGGGGAAGTGGGAGGGGTGGGGGAAAGGAAAGAAGGGAATGGAATTAGTATGAGAAAATGGAGAAATAGGAACAAAATCTTTGTATTGTGACTTTTTTACTGTAATTATTCTTTAAACAACACAGTATAACAACTATTTACATAGCATTGACATTGTACTATGGTATTCTACATAGTCTCACACAGGAGAATGTGTGAATGTTATATATGTGTACTGTGCCATTTTATGTAAGGGATATGAGCATCCTTAAATTTTGATATCTGAAAGAGATCCTGAAACCAATGCCTGAAGAAACCAAGGGACAACAGTATATGCTCCAGTCCCTTCAATCATTTTGGGTACAAACCTGTCTATGAGGTTGCTGGGCTATGTAAAAGTACTGGGTTCTGCTTTCTGAGGAAGTGTGATGTGGATTTCCACAGCTGCTGCCCCCTTTTGTCCCCAGAAGCAGCATCCAAGCATTTCAGCTTCTCTACAGCCCCACCACCACTTGCTATTTGTCATTTCTTGGACTATGACCATCCTAGTAGGTGTGCAGTGACACGTTGTAGTTTCAATTTGCACTTCCCGGATGACTGATGGTGCTGAGCATCTTTCCATGTGCCTCTCAGCTATTTGTGGTCTTTTTTGGAAAATTGCCTGTTTAATCCCTTTGTCCCTTTCTGAATTGGCATATTTGCCCTTTTGTTGCTGGGTTGTGGCTCCTATATCCCTTAAACCTGCCTCAGTCAGACTTTCTCTACGATGATGGAAATCAACCTGTTCTCATAAAGATCACCAGGAACTTCACACTGCCAGGTCTAATGGTCAGTCTCTGTCCCCCTTCATGTGACCTGTCAGCAGATCTGGATTAGCCAGCAACACTCTCCTCCTGGCAGCCTTCTCCCTTGATCTCCACGAGCACAGGCTCCTGGTTCACATCACCTATCCATTCTTGTACCCTCTCCTCCACTAGCTCCCTCATCTCCCTAGTTTCTTAGCCCTGGGACAGTAGGGTAACCCTCAGACCTCATCATCAGCTCAACTCATTGCCATGAGGATCACATTCATTCTAGGGCTTTAGAGGTCCCCCAAGTGCTGATACCATACAGTGTTCACATGTGGCCCAAACTCCCCACACCCCACGTACCAGCTGGTAGCCTATGAATGTCTAACAGCCCTTCATATGGAACAGTCCCAGGCCATGCTCTATTACAGGAACATCCCAGGCCACACCCTGTCACAGGAACACCTTCAGGCCACATCCTCATTACAGGGACATCCCCAGGCCACTCCTGACCATCTAGAACCCACACCTGCCACACTCCCCAGGCATACCTAGCCATGCAGAGGTCTAAAGTCACCCTGATTCCTTCCCAACATCACCTCCCAGCCCCTAGGAAATTCTCCCCAACATCACCAACCACCCCAGTCCAGGAAGTCAGCAGCTGCCACCCAGAGTGTCCTGCCCATATTCACCCAGCTGCCAGAGGAAGAGTCTTGGACAGATCACCACACACAGTCATGACACTCCCTATTCAGACCCTTCCACCAATTTATTTCACAGGCAACACTATAACCTGTGCCATGGCCAACAAGTCATGACTCCTGCCCTCTCCTGCACTCCACGGCCTCTACTCCATGACACCAGCTTCTCTTTCTGTCCATGGCCACACAGATGTGCAACCATCCTGGGTTGTCTGTCCCTGGGCCACTGAGTGACCCTTTCCTGCCATCCTCACCCAAAAGGCAAGGGACTTTGCTGATTCTGCCCTGACTCAGTCCCCTGGAACATGCAGGCCAGATGCCCCTCAACACAAATGTGCAGACTGAAAGGCAGGAGCCCCTGAGGGGCAGAATAGAAACACACCTCCCCAGACACTCAAGCTCAGCAAGGATCCTCCTTGCTCCAGCCTTGTGAGCCAACTGTTCCCCCACACACACATACTCTGAGCCCCAGAGGGGATAAGTGACTTCTACATGGTCATACAGACAGTGAAGAGTGGACCTGGAACTTGAGCCTAGACCCTCTGACTTCAGAGATCCTACTCTTTCCAGGCAGTGACCCACTTACAATCTCCTGGAGTCCTATGAGCTGGTGTGCCCATCCAGCAGGGACCAGATGGGACTGTGATGGCCTTCCTGGGCCTTCAGGGTGCTGAGTCTGCCATAGTGCTTAGGGTGGTGCTCTTTCTGCTATCCTGCTATGGCATTCCCCACCCTGCCCCATCGAGCCCCTTCATCCAACACTGGGCCTGAAGACCATCAAGGACAGGAAACAGAGGGTCATTGTGGTCACTGATGTGTTGGGGAAGCCCTGATATTGCCTCCCTTCCCCAAGTCTCACAGGGCATTGCTCTCAGACCAGGTAGCAATGCTTCTGTTCCCAGGCAAGACCTTGATCAGGGCCAGTCTTTTCTCTCCAGGACTTGGTGCCATCATCTGCAAAATGGGCAAGAGATCACTGCACCAATGGCAAAACTCTATGCATGGATCAGGGCCAGCCCCACCCTCTCCCTGGGCATTGCCCCCAGAGCCGGACCCTTGTCACAACGAAGCCCTCATGATCCCTCTCTGCCCCTCTCTGCCCACAGCCACGCCCTATGCCTCTGGAAGGCCCTGAGGGCTGAAAACTCCATCAGCCTCCTGGTGCTGGCTGTGCTGCTGGCCTGGCTGAAAGAGCGTCCCTTGTCCACCAGAGCCAGCGATGGCAGCACCCACCCCAAGGAGAAGACCCACCTGTACTCACTGGCCTTGAGTCTGTCCCTCCAACCCCAGCTTCTTGGATTCCCTCAGTCAGTGTCCAGGGGGTAGGAAGGGAGAACCCCACTGCAAGGCCACAAGAGGGTAACCGAGCCCTGGCCAGGAGGACAAGGGTCTCAGACATCCAGGGTCAGGAATGGACTCACAGTCCCAGCTGCAGGCCCAGCTCCCCACTTCCCAGCCCAGGGTTCTAGGCCTCTGACTGTGAGTCAGGATAGAAGTGTCCCCACAAGTGGAAAAGGGGATTGGATCTTCAGTGCTTGCCTGGCCTGGCATCACTGTGCAGGATGGCCTTGGAGAGAGAGGACCTGGGGCAGAGTTCAGCCAGAGGGGAAGGGCTTGGAAACTCCAGGGTCCAGCAAGCCATAGCAGGCTCTAGGGAGCAGTGGATTCCAGAGGACTCTTAGAGGCTGCCTTCTGCTGTGCCCACCCTCCTGTGGAAATCCCTTCCAGCTTGCCCCTGAGCCCAGGGGCAGCTTGCACCACCAGGAGCAGGCCATTCATATCCTAAGGCAGTCTCCCCTGTCCCCATGGCTGGGCTCCAGTGAGGCAGCAGTCCCTGCCTCCAACCCTGCTGGGATGCTGCCAAGGCAGAGTCGAAGCCCCAGAAGCCCCTGAGAAGCAGTCCAGAGCAGACAGCTGCTCTTCCTCACCCAGAAAGGCAACTGCCTGCATCAGGGACTGCTGACCACTGAACATGGCAGAAGGGAGACTCCTACTCTATCCCATGCCTAGAGCTCATCAGCCCTATTCCCAAATCCACCCCAGCCCTTAGCTCATGCCACCAGAGTCAAGCAGCACTCATCAGGAAACCACACAGCAGCATGGGCTCAGACCCCCAGGCCTAGGTCGCAGCACGGCAGCCATCCCTGCATTCCAAATGCCCCCTCCTCTGTTCATCCCTCATCATACCCATTCAGTATTGTCCCCCCAGCCAGACCATTCTGGACCAAATGCTCCTTTAGGCATGGCAAGCCTCAGGTCCTGGGGGCTGCTGTCATAGACTCTGCCTTCAAGGGTCATTTGTCTCCAACACTAATGTGTTAAACTCCTGTTGTGTGCAATCACCACACAGCACAGGACTTCACCTTCAGGGACAGACCTCAAGCGAATGACCCTCAGATAGTCACTAAGGGCAAAGAGCTGTGTTCAGGCAGGTCAGAGAGGTGGCCCTGAGTCGTGGGGGAAGGTCTGAGGGTATTGGCAGGCGGCGTGCCAGCAGACAGCGGGGAAAGAAGGGGCACCAGGCTCTCGAGCAGTGAGGTGACCTGAGCAGCAGGTATAGTGAGTTCACAGACAGGCCAGGCTGAGGCTGCACAGCTGGCAGGGACTGAGCACAGGGAAAGGTGTCATCTGGACGCTGCACCTAGTCCTGGAAGTGTTTAAGCAAAGAGTGAGAGGCATGATGGGACATGGCTTTGACTCTGCACCTCTGGCCCAGGAGCACAGGGCTTAGAAACTTCACTCTCTCCTCCCAACAGGCCATGAACATACTGCATGCGCTGCAGTTCATGCACGAGTTCAAGAAGGTCTTGCAGGAGGCCTACCCCCAGCTCCTTCTGGCCCTCCTCACTCAGGTACACTATGTCCTGGAACTGAACCTGACCAAAGCCAAGTCCCTTCCCGGGCAGCAAGCCCAGGAGACAGCCCTGCCCAGCCCCCAGAGGTAAGCACAGGGCCTCTCAGGTCTTCTAGCCAGCCAGCCAACAGGAATGCCCAGGGAAAGTTAGGTATTGCCTTCATCCAGCTGAGGAACAAGGTACCACACACCCAGAGGCTTAAAACAGCAGGCGTATGTTGTCCCATGGTTCCCAAGGGCGCAAATCAAAGTGTCCTCAGGCAGTGCTCCTCTGAAGGCCACAGGGGAGAAACCTTCCTTACTTATTGCAGCTGCTGGTGGCTCCAGGCAGTCCTATGACCTGTGGCTTCAAACTGCATGACTCTGATCTCTGCCTCTGCTGTCACGTGGCATTGTCCCCTGTACCTGTGTCCAAAATTCCCCTTCTTAAAAAGACACCAGTCATTGGATTAGGGTCACCCTAATGGCCTCATCTTAACTCAATTGCATCTGTAAAGACTTCGTTTCCAAATAAGGTCACATTCACAGGTACTGGGTTACACTTCTAACATGCCTTTCTTAGGGGAGACACATTCATCCCACCACAGCCAGGGCCCCAAACACCATGCTCAGCCACACGGCTCTCCCGCCAGCATGGACAGCTCTATAGGCACACACATGTTCTGTTTCCTCAACACCTCAGGGTGCCTGGTGACTGCCTCTTACTCACCTCTTAGCCTCCTTGCAAGGCTTCTGGATATGAGCATGACCTCACCCATTTTAAGTATAGAATCATATTGCCCTTGCTCCCGGCCCCCAAGAGGTAGACACCCTCCCAGCCCCTTGGGTACTTCAGGGGCCACGGCACATTTTTGCACAGTGTTACTGGTGGTCCCCACCCCATTCCTCTGTGCCTGACCAGGATGGACGGGCATGGATGGGAGGGACCATACCATCCTTGGGCCACAGTAGGGCTGTCTACCTTGGGCTTCCCTCTGCACTCAGTCACATTTCCAGAAATTCAATGACCCAGTCTTAAAACAGCTGGGGCCACTCTTTTCATTTGTTTGTATTATGATGTGCTTCATGCAATCTGTCAGTTTTAACAGCTCTCCCCAAGGCACATCACTGAAAAACACAATGTCAGTCCTTCTCATATTGCCTCTGAGTTCCAGTGTGCGTAAAGCTCCTTTTTTATTCAGATCAAACACGCAAAATGCATGAATCTTCCATAGTATGCTAATAAAACCCTCTCTTCCCAGAGCATGAGAGAATTGGGAGAAAGCTATGACTGCCTCTGCTCACCCCTCTCCTCCCCCAATGCTCCCCTTACCCACAAGCCACCTCGGCCAGTCCCCTCCAGCCCACCCTCTATAATAGTGGCCCCTCCCTGGGCCCATGTAACACCTGACCTCTGTGCCTTCTTTCCTGTTTGCTGCCTGCACCCCAGGAGTGGATGGTCCTTCGGGGCAGAGACATCTGTCTATCTCAGCCACTCCCACACGCTAAGGGGATTTGTCTTTCTTCGGGCTCTCCCTATACTAGTGATGTCTGTATGTCTCTCTTGAGGCTCCCTCATCCACCATGGGCATCTGTCTGTTTCTTGGGGCCCCTGAGTAGTTCTCTGCTAGGCCCAGCTGGATGGAGCTCTCAAGCTGTATCCACCTGCCCTTCTCTCCTCAGCTCTATTCCCCCCACCCCCTCTCTGAGCAGGTCCTTTCTAATGCAGCAGTGGCCCCAGTAGCAATAGGACCAGATCTGGCTCTGATTGGCCCAACTCAGGTCACATGCCCACCCCAGAACCAATCCCTTAGCCACAGAGGCATCAGAGGTTTGGTTGGTCCAAACTGGCATCCATGCCCTCCTGGAGCTGGGATAGGGACCTGTGACTCCCTTCCCCAAAGGGAACCTGCCAAGCCAGGACCATCCTAAAGGGGCCTCAGGGTGAGGTGGGCCAACCAGCAGCCACATCAGCAGGGATAGTGAGCAGTGAGGGACAGAGGAAAGGCTGACAGCCACTCTCTGGGCCTCAAGGGTAGGTGGGCACTGCCCAGTATATAATGGTCCAGGGCCTGACTCATGTTCCAAGTGGATTGGTAGTGTTGGGGGGGGCAGAGGGGCCAAAGAGAGGGTCTGGGGTCCACTGCTGAGTAGCCCACTGGCTGAGGGTGACCCAGCAGGGGTTGGGAAGGACACCAGATGGCAGCCAGGTGAGGCATCAGGCAGGTGAGACTGGTCATGGGCCTCCAAGGTTCCTGCCACCTACTCAGCAGGGCCACCTTGGGCCCAGCACATGGGTCTTAGGCCAGGGCTGCCCCATGTACACTGATCACCCCCCTACTGCTTCCCTGCCTGACAAAGACCCTCACTTTGAAGACGTAGCCTGGCTTGGTCAGTTCCCAGCTGAGTCCTCCTCCTACTGATGCACGCTCCACCTCAGGAAGGGCTTCCCACTCCTCCCCTTTCATCACTGTGGTGACTCAACTCCCTGAAGGCCCCTCATCCCCTATTTCAAACCCATGCTCATCCTCACCTGCTTGGTTCCTCAGTGTCCCTATGTCCCATTGGGCCAAGGGGACAGAAGCTTGTGATAAAGAAGAGGAGAAACCTCAGCCCATTAGGATGGCTATGATCAGCAGCAAAGGCAGAAAGTAACAAGTGTTGAGAAAGATGGAGAGAAACCGGAGGCCTGTGGATGGGAACAGAAAAGGGTGCCACTGCTGTGAGAGATGGCATGTGGCAACTTTTCAAAAACTTAAACAGAAGAGCTGGGCATGATGGCACATGTCTGTTGTAAGTTTGACCCCAGCCTGGGCAACTTAGCAATTTAACAAGACCCTGTCTCAAAATAAGAAAGACAAAATGGCTGGGGGTGAAGCTCACCATGAATACCATGGGTTCAATCCCCAGTACCAGGAGGAGAAAAAAAAAACATAAACTAAAACTCACCCTATGACCCAGTAATCCCACCTCTGAGTTTATATCTGAAAGAATGAAAGCAGGAACTCATAGATCCCAGAAAATTCTAGCTGCATGTACCACTCACAGGAATCAACAAATGGAAACTGCCCAAGCACCCACCATGGATGAACAGTAAAGAACATGTGATCTCCACATGAAATGGGATACTACACAACCTTAAAAAGGAAGGTGTCCTAGTGCAAGAGGCAGCAGGGACAAAGCTGGAGGACAGCTTGCTGAGTAAAATTAGGCAGTCACAAAAGGACAAGTGCTGTAGGATTCCACTCATAAGGTCCCTAAAGGAGTCAAATCCATGGAGACAAAAAGAAGAATGGAGGCTTCCAGGGGCTGGGGCAGGAAATTCAGAGTCAATTTCAACTTGCAAAGAGCCCAAGAAAGCTCTGCAGGTGGATGGCACCCATAGCTACACAACGCTGTGAATGTGCTTAAGGCTGCCAAACTGTACACTTAAAGATTATTGGAATAGCAAATTGTGTAAATGCATTTTTCCACAATAAAAAACAAAAGTAAAACCAGAATAAGAGGAGATGGTGAGGCTGAGGAAGTGTGCAGCTGTGTCTGACCAGTCCTCAGAGAACACACGTAGTGACGCTTCCTCTTTCTATTGAGGCTCTGCTCCCTCCAGGGCAGGAATGGGAAAGCGGAGTTGCTTGGGGATGGGGTGGGCATCACTGAGATGCCAGGATGTCGAGGGGCTGCAGGACAGCATGACCTTGGGGCCAGGAAGAAGGAAAAACCATCCTGCCACCATCAGCATGAGGAATCCATGTCCTTGGGAGCTGCTAGGGGTCCTGGGTTGGGCAGGGCTGTAGGTTGTGGGGACCCCCAGGGGCTGGGATTCTCAGGAATGCTCAAGTCAGCTGACAGTCATCTTCTCGGAACTCCCATTGTATCCACCAGGTCAATGCAGTCATGAAGGACAAGCAATCGTGATGCCCAAGGTGCCCCAGGACCAGAACTTCCAGAACCTCCAAGAGTGAACAGAATGTCCCATCTCCTCAAGTCCTTGTCTCCTGAAAACCATCATCCTTTGTGGCCGAGACCAGTGACCTGGAAAAATGCTGCCTCTTTTAATGACACAGCTTGGGGTGAGATGACAAGCCAGCTGGCATTTGAATTGGCACCATCAGGGACTTTCAGAATGGCATTTCATCCTTTGACACTTGGTTTTGCAAATCTGCTCAGAAACATGCCACCCAAGCTGACAGTGCGGTCCAGGGTATGATCACACACCCCGGTGACATACTCCTGGTGACAAGGCAAAGGGTGACCACAAATGGAGACAGGACAGCGAGCCAGGGCTACCTTGCATTCCCAGACTCCATGTGTGTTCAGGGACTGCAATCAGTGCCTGGGGCAGCCCTGTACCTGTGCCAGTGACATCACTGCGTGAGTTTGGAGCCAGAGAACTGGCTTGACTCTTTCTGCTGCCCTTGACCAGGCTGTGAGGCCTAGACAGGACACCTCACCTCTCGGGGATGCTTTCTCCTCTGTGACAACAAGGGATGGTTACCTGAGATGTTCAGGTGAGGCACTGCACACAGGTGCACCTTGTACCCCATACATTCTTCCTTACCCACGCGTGGGCGGGCACTCTGCTCCCCGTCTCCTCTGCAGCTGACCAGAGTCCCAGACGCACAAGTTTCCACAGAGCCTCATGTCCTCTGAGCTCCACCTTGTTGCCCAGCCAAAGGGTCAATGTCCCCTCCAGGAAGTTTCAAGGGTGCTCACAATCTCAGAGTGCCAAACCAAGCCTGTTTCTCTCCCCAAATGCTGGGACCCCAGCCCACCACTAGCTCACCACACTAGAGGCCTCAGTATTTCTTTGATGACGAAGGGCAGGACCACCCGGGTGCCATGGAGGTCTTGAAAATGGTTGTAGCCAACACAGGAGCCAGAGTGTGCCTTTCCACATGGGAGGGTGCACTCCTCCTTCCCAAGGGCAGGGTGGCCTGGATGACCAGCGTGGCCCTAGGTGGGCCCTGACTCCTCTGTTTGGCCACAGCACGTCACTGGAGGCCCTGAAGAACCTGATGTTCGCCACAGGGCACTGGCATAACTTTGCCCACCTAGAGCTGCAGGGTGCCTGGGAGCGCTTCTCTTCCATCGTCTCCTACCCGCGGGGCGTAGTCCTGCTTCCCAGGTACCAGTGTGTGGGGCAGGGGAGGAGCTGCATGTAGTGCCCACAGTGACAGAGTCCGGGTCTTCCAGAGCCACTTGAGAATCCAAGGGGTCCTGCTCACAGACAGGCCCTGGGGACCCCAAGTTTGCACACAGAGGCTCTGGGGCCGAATAGCACGTGCCCCCTGCCCTGGTCACAGGCACACCTGTTGATGCCGGCATCCCTTCCGCGCCCTCCTGGCCTGAGACCTCCTGAGAGATGAGGGCTGTCAGTGTCATTTCTCAGCCTTGCCTATATCAGGCCATCTCTGGCACAAACTGGGCACCAGGTGCAGAAGGAATGGGATGTGCTCACGGAGACAAATGTCCATCTCCTCAGAATGCTCACCCACACTGGGACGCTTTTAGCTTTTCAGCCACCCCCTGGCTTGGGTGCTGGCAGGAGGGTGGACCCGGGCTGCGCCACAGCCAAGGCCCTGTCCCCTAGGGCCATGGTGCAGAACCACTGCAGGAAGATCAAGGCCGTGCTTGGCCAGCTGCTGCCCAGCCTGCAGAGCCAAGAGGAGAGGGAGAGGAAAGTGGCCATCCTCATCCTCAACGAGGTAGGGGAAAGGCTGGGGGCTGGGGATCCTGCCTCTCTACACCCTGCAAAGGCCCCGATGCGCTGAAGGGACACCGGGTGTAAGCTTGGGCAGACGCATATGCTCATGCTAGCCTTGTCCCGCCTCAGCGGGACTCCAGGTCCTTGCCTGGGACAGGAAAACTGCGAGTGTGGCCAGTTTTGCAGCTGTGGGCTTTGGGCCAAGCTGGAGTGGGGGAGGGGTCTTTCCTATGATGGACAACAGGTAACCTGAGGCCTTTAACCCAAGTCACAGCCTACTGTCACCTCCCACCCTACCAGTAGGAGAGTCTGTGCCCTGTCCCTGTATGCCCCACAAGCCAGCCATTGGCATAAGTTGACCCCAGCTACGCTGTGTAGCCTCAGGCAAGGCCTTTCTCCTCCCTGAGCCTCCATTTACCCAGAGGTACATTAAAGGGTACTGGTTACCCACAGTACCAGCCCTCCCCCAGGCCCACCCTGACCCTGGCCCCTGAGCCCCACAACACGGATCCAGACGCCCACAGAGGCTGCCAAACTTGATCTGCATGCCCCACTCACAGTTCCTCTACAGCCCCGCCCTGCTGGAGGTCCTTCCTACTCAGGCTGCCAGGGCTGTGCTGGCGAAAGTTCTCTGTGACCCCAGCCCGGAGGTGCATGTGTACAGCCTGCAGGCTCTCGGAAACATCCTCTTCCACCCAGAGAAAGCGAGGGCTGGCAGGCACCATGGCCACAGGCACTGGGGCAGGCAAGGCCAAGTGGGTGGGATCCTGGCTCTGTGCCCTCAGGCTCTATCCCTTCAGTAGAGTGACTTCAGACCACCTATCCTCATCTCCAGACAGGGACAAGCTGTAGGAGGAGTGGCAGTGTCTCTTCCCTAAAAGGAGGAGACGAGTCTACTGCAGGCCTCAGGTGCCCGCTGAGGAAGCTTCCCAAGCCTGGCCAGAGAGAACTTCCCCAGAGAACCTGGTGGATGGGTTCCCCCAAACTTGCAGTTGACATATCTTCTCGATTCCAACCAATGCTGCCCCATGACCATAGTGACCCACACCCAATAATGAACAGCTAATGGAGAGAAAGCCTTCAAGCTGACTTGGAGAGGTCCCCAGTTCAGGCCATGGAGTTCCTGCTACCCTGTTCTATGGGTTTCCAAGGCACCATGTGTGGTTAGGGCCAAGATGCAGGCCAGTACCCACTCCAGCACTTTCCGGCCGGCAATTCTTTAGCCCTTGAGTCTCAGTGCCAATGTCTATAAAATGGGAGTGGAAATGGGAGCTGCAGAAACCTGTGCTGGACCATGGACAGCCCTCGAGCCATGATCAGCCCTTGAGCCACTGGCTGTCGTAAACAGCAGCAGAAGCTTTTATGCTGACATCCTGCATGGGCCCAGCCAGCTGGACTGAGATGTTCTCAGCTGGTTGGGAAGGTTAAGGCCTTCCCCTGGCTTCCTCCACCCTGGGATCTGTGTTATGATTCCAGAATGCTGCAGTGAGAGAAGGCTGCTGTGAACATACAGATGGGTGTTCAGGGATTGCAAGAGAAAATGAGGTCATGGGAAGGCCACAGAAGGGACAGTTTCCAAAGAGTTCCCAAAACCATGTGACCATCACCCTAGTTTATTCCAATTCTGTTCAACTCGTAAGTCTCCACATGGTTAGGGGGAGATCTCCATTAGGGTCACCAAAGCCCTATGCATTGCATGTGACTCATGGGAGCCTCAAAGAGGGGAATGGAGACTAGACAGCACTTGCTCATCTATCTACCCACTCACCAACCCCTCTATTCATCCATTCATCGAGCATCCATTCACCCATCTACCATCCATTCACCCATCCATCCTCTCAGCCATCCATCCATCCATCCATCCATCTAGGCATTTATCCATTCACCCACACACCCATATGTTTGTTCTTAGAGTCCTTTATCTGACTCATTATTTCCCTTGTTCATTCTTTTTATACTCATTCAGCCAATCATTCAGTCATTCAGTTACCTCCGCACTTTCTCCAGTTGTTCTCCCAGACAGGTGATCATAGGGAGTTTCAATGTGCCTCCTCTGAACCCCACTGACCGGGGCCATGTGAGGAATGGAGAAGGCAGGCAAGGCTCCTGCTAGACCAGGAGGGCTCAGTATGAGGAAGGGGGTATAGTTCACTGCCTGGCAAAAGTGAGGTGTGGGCCAGAGGGAACAGGTAGACCCATGAGCAGCTGGGCAAGGAAAACTAACGGGGTGGGGACCGAATGGGCTGACCAAGACAAGATGAAGCAGGCTGCCCTGCCCAAGCAGGGCAGATACATACCTTATTATGCATGTTTGGCCTCTTTTCTGGCCCTTCCCACTAGAATTCCCTTCTGCCGGTCCTGTCCATAGCTGGAACACTAGCTCCCTCCTAGGCATGCATAAAGTGTGCAATGCTGTCACATGACTCACTTGGTGAAAATGAACTTAATATTTTTAAATGAAACAGCTTAGGAAGCCAACAACATGCGCTTCAAACTTATTTAAAAGTTACTTTTTTCAAACCCACCTTGATCTGCACACAAGTCATTGACAAGGGGCCAATGGCAGGAAAATCCACCCTACTTTCTGACAATGCAGCTGAGAATTCAGGAATGCAGTGCAAACAAATGGAGCAGACAGAACTGGCTGGAAATAAATTCAAAAAGAATGTTTAAAGCAAAAAGTGTAAAAATGGAACATAACCGTCACTTGCAACACAAAAGGTCTGAAGCTACCGCCTAGTGCACAGAAAATCCCAGTTATGAGAGGAACTAGTGACTTCAGTACGTACAACATGACCAGCTTTTCCCTGGTCCAGACTCAGACCCCACCAGACCCAGGGCAAGCCTGGAAATGGGATGAAGGCAGGGGTGTTCTAGGCCTGAGAATAGGAAGGAGCTGGGATCCAAGTAGTACCGAGGGCCCTGTGCATCCATATCTCTCCTTTACCTCCTCAAGATCCCCCGGTGGTGAGGAGAGGAAACCCTGTCCAAGGCCACATGGTCCGGTGGGTAGAGGTGGGCGGGATCGACAGCTCTGAAGCCATGGCCACAGGGTGGGGCAGGAGGACCGCAGTTGGTCTGGGATGTGGGTGCAGGGCAGGCAAAGGGGGCCAGAGGAGCAGGTCCTGGGCCCGCCACCCACCGCCCCCCTGCCCGCAGGAAAGCCTGCTCCGTGCGCAGCTGCCGCACTTCCTTGAAGGCTTCTTCCAGAAGAGTGAGCTGGTGGTCGTGGGCATCATGAACACCGTGTCGGAAGTGCTGCACCAACTGGGCATCCAGGGTGCAGGCGCCCAGAGCCTCAGTGTCACCATCAAAGTCCACATTTTCTTTGACGACGTAGGCCCGGGGACAGGGCGGGCTGGGGTGCCTCCCTCATAGCTCTGGGCTGCAGCTGACCTTAACTTCGGGCAGACGGACCCGGGTTGACCGAGTGTCCACCAGGTGGCGCTCGGCTCCTTCTCATGGCTGAACACTGCCAAATCCAATTTCTGACCCTCAATCTCAGATCCTACAACTGCCCCACAAATCTCTTACCCTTATGGCTGACATGGGGTCTCATTTAGAGGAACTACTTTTTCTTTACTGGAAACAGAGGGGATTAAACCCTCCCCTAAGCTCCTTTCGTGACACTTACATACTGTGGGTATCAAAGAGAATGATTTCAAGTCTTTGAGGTTGACCTGGGAGATGGCCTGGGAACCTTGTCTGAGAGGGAGGTCTGGCCTTGCCCTGGAGTTTTGTCTGAGAGGTAGGCTTAGCTCTGCACTGGGAGACCCAGGCCTGGCCAAAGGACCCTGCAGAAAGAAGCCAGTGGGCTGGGTACCAAGTCAGGCAAGAGATGGGCCCCCTCTGAGACCTGCCTTACAGGAGCAGGACCAGATTCGAGCAGCAGCCATGGCACTGTTCGGGGACCTGGTGGCCACGATGGCAGGTGGGAAGCTCAGTGACCTTCAAACCCAGGTGTGCCAGAGCATGGTGCCCCTGCTTCTGCACCTGAAGGACCAATGCCCAGCCGTCGTCATGGTCAGTACTCACGGCGGCGAGGCAGGCTGACAGGGCTTCACCTTGCCCGGGGGGCTGAGCAGACAGGTGGCAGAGTAAGGGGCTCCCTAGGCCAGCACCAGACCACAGCCCCTTCCCAAGGCACACACACACACAGGTAGGACTCTGCTGTCTTGTGAGCCAGACTGTCTGCTGTCTGTTCAGCTCACTATTGGTTCCTCTTAGCAAGCACAGGTAGGGCTTGGCCACACCCTGAACTTTCTGGAATTCAGAACCCTCCCTGCCTCGTGCTCAACTTGCATGGGGCCTGCTGTTCCCAAGCAGAGCTGCACACGGGCATCTGGGCAGGGAGGGAAAGTGCTCCCCTGAACACCAGCACGGCAGACCACCTCAGATGCACACATGAGCTGGGGAGTAGGGGGAACCGATGTTCACCCTAGGCAGTGAGTGACCCTCCTGTGGCTGTCCCCACAGCAGTCCAAATTTGCCTTCTACCACTGTGCTGCCCTGCTATGCTGGCAGCCGAGGCACATCCTCTTCTGCACCCTGGCCTGGGAGCGCAGCCTCAGTGCCCCACTTCCTCTGGACCTGCCTGGTGAGGGTCAGGGTGTGGTGAGGCCGGGCTGGCTGGACCCTGTTTTCTCTGAGGGCTGGGGGGTGGGGCATGGCTGGAGATCAGTGGCCCCTCCAGGCCCAGCCCCAGGCAGTGACAGGTGGCTGTCTTCCCACCAGATGACCCGCAGCCAGGAAGAGTTCAGCATCCACCTGGCACAGGCCCTCAAGTACCTGTACAGCTGCCACCACCACATGAAGACCTGGGCAATGCTCTTCATAGGTGGGCTGAGAGCAGGCCAGGCTTGGAGACCCCCAGGCCTACCCTGACCTACACCCACCCTGACCCACCCACCAGCAAGAGGGAGAGAGGTGGGTGAGGGGGCTTGGGGCTGAGGAAGAGCAGGAGCGGTCTGGGCCCCCAAAGAGATCAGAGCCTCTACCCACTGGCCAGCTGCACCCCATTTTTCACAGGTTACACCATCTGCTACTTCCCCCAGGCTGTGTCCCAGATGCTGAGTAACAGAGACATGGACCTGCTGCTCCACAGTAAGCAGCCCTGCCCCAGCCCTCCCGCCCACAGCACCCAAGCCCAGCTCAGCATCCTAAATGACTTCAAAGATGGCAAGACCGAGGCCCCCTAGGAGTAGGGCTCTTCTAGCCCTCCAAGCCCAGGGCAGCAATAGGACAGGCTCTGCTCGGGCCAGGGCCCACCTCTGTGTGTTGCCCATTCCCTTCCCCAGCCTCAGTCAGGGACCAGAGGGGGTCAACTCACTCTTCAGCTCCCACAAAACAAGGGCCCCACAGCTGCCTTGAGAATGGGGAAGGGAACCCTCTGGGACCTGTGTCAGCTGGTGACCCCAGGCCAAGGTCACCTCTGACTTAACCCTTCTCTCTTGAAGCTTTTGAAGATCTCAAAAAAGACCCGGAGCCCAGCATCCAGGAATTTGCCACCAGGCAGCTTTTGTTCTTTCAGAAGGTGTCTGCCAGATCCCAGAAGTGACGTCTGGCTGTCCTCCTACCCTCTCTTCCTGCCCACTCCACCCCTTCCTCTAACGCCCGCCTGGCATGCAGAGCTTCACTGCATGACTTTTCCATTTGAAAGAAAGGTCTAGATTCGACAAAGAAGTGTTACACTGGGTTGGCTACCCACCTTCCTTCCATCCCACACCCCCCACACACACACTGTAGTCAAGCCAAGGCCCAGGAGACACTGGCAGGGAAGACAAAGGGCAGGGGAGGTGGGGACACTGGGAAGTCTGTGATAGAGCCTGCAAATGGCAGCTCCTCCATTCTCAGAGATAGTGTCAACTTCACATCCGGGGCCCTCACGGCTGAATGGAGCCACTGGCCAAGGTGCCCATGGCCTTCAGTCTATCTCCAGCCTGGAGTTTGGCAGTGGCTGAGGGACTGATGGTGGGGCAGGCTCCCCAGCCCAGCCTCCCTCCATCCTCCTCCGTCCAGTCCGAGCTGTCCCTGCCAGGTCACACCTCCTGGGTATGCAAGCACTGAACAAGCTGCATGGCCTGAGGCAAGTCCTGGGCTCTCCGGGCCTCTGATGTTCCATCTAAAATGCCAGGGCCTCCCTGTGAGCCTCAGTTTACTGAGTGTGGCGAGGGCAGATGGGCCTTGCCTTGCCTGGGGCCCAGTGCTCATCCTGAGTCACAGCAGGGGTCTCCCGGGACCCTGCCAGACCAGCCAGCTCCCTCACAGGTTGCTCCAGCAGGGTCTGCACACTGCCCATCCTCTCCTGGGCCCATACTGCCCTGACCACACCTGAGCTCACCCATGCTTGGAGCACCACTGCCTACACCATCCCCCCAGACCCAGAGGGCAAGCCCCAGCCCTCCTGAGACCCAGCACCCCACCTCCCCAACAGAATCCCAGCCCATCTTTCCTACCCCCCGAGGCTGTGCACATCTTGCAAGAGGGCATGCTGGAGGGTGGATTGAGAAAACTACAGCCACTGTCCCTAAATGTCCTGTGGATATAGGTGAGTCCATGGGTGTGCTCCAGGAGAGGAGAGACTAAGCGCTGACTAACCACACCCAGTCTCCTCCCTCTGTCCTTTCCAAAAGTGGAGCTGCCTGGGGAACTTTCAGGTAGTTTTGCCTTTTCACATATCCTACCTGCACCCGGACCTCATGGGTACCCATCATGGAGCCCTCCTCGGCTTCAGCCCTCGCTGGTGACAGTGGCTTAGGTCCAGCCTGGCAGGTGGCAGAACTGTCTCAGCAGGGTAGCAGTCTCCTTGAGGCGAGCTTGCTAGCTGCCCCACTGACTGCCCTCAAGCCACCCTGGGTCCCCTATAGTTCCTCCTCCCTTCTGGAAAGACTCACTTAGCAAAACTTGGGACTCCCAGGTGGGTTCCTGGAGCCCACACTGACTGGACAAGCCTCCAGGCTCTGAGTCTGTCCCTCATCTGGATGTGAGGTGGGGGGCTGCTGGCCGAGTTCTGGGGACAGGCAAGCTCTGGGAACTTGGCTTGCAGCAGCAGCTCTGTTATGGCACCTACCTGGATAGTAGTTCATGCTAGGCCTGGTGGGGCGGGCTGGGAAATGGGGAGGTAGGGCCTGCTTCCCCCACCACAGTGCCTTTATTGTGACTGTAGGCACACAGGCCCAGGCCCAGGAGGCGAGCGCCTGCCTTTGGTGAAATGGGCTTCTGGCAAGGGCTCACCATGCACGCTGGGCACAAGGCTCACCTTCCTGGGAAGGGCAGAAACAGTGATCTCTGGGGGTCCAGGTGAGTCCCCCTCAGCTGTCCTGGGGACCCATCCCAGAGTGGGTGTAGTGTGGGAGGAGGAAGAGCAGGCCAGGTGGGGCCCTGAGGAGAGAATGGCCAAATGCTGGGTGGCAGATGCAGATGGAAGGTGATCTGACTCCCTTCTGGGGCTCAAGTGCCAGCCTAGAGAACTCGGCCTAGAGACCCGGCTGAGAGGAAGGGTCGGCCAAGGCCTGTGGGTGGCGTCCACAGGTGGGAGTCAGAGCCTAAGGGCCTTGGGGCAGAGAGCACTCCTAGCCCTTCTACACACTCAGCCAGACCAGCCCTGGGCCCACACTCCCAGTGTTGCCCCTGCCCTCCTACACCCTTTCCTCTGCAGGTAGGTTGCCCCCAGATCAGGGGCCAGGCCCATAGGCAGCCTCTCCACTTCAGATCCTTCCAGGTGCCCACACCCACTTCGGCTCCCTCCCAGGCAGACAGCATGTGCCTTCCTCTGCCTGAGCCATGGGTGCCCTCTACCTGAAGTTCACACCACCCCTTGCTGAGCCCTTTCCCTGGGCCTTAGAGGCTAAGATGCAAGCCCTCCTGGAGGCAGAATAGGGAGCCATCCCCGCTTTGCAGACCCAAGGTCCCAAAACTGACACATGAACCCACCCTGACTTGCAGAGCAGCAACACTGATGACTGTCTCACCTCCTAATGTCCCAACCCCCAAACTGCTACCAGCAACCCATCCGTGGCCCTGCTCCATCCACTCTGTTATATCAGGGATACAGACCCAAATCGGAGTGCAGGGCCCCAACATGGCCGCCAGGGGGAGCCACAGGAGCATGCTGGAACCCCAGCCTATGGGGATCACAGGCTTCAGTCTCCTGGCAGTGGCCTCCCAGACCCCAAGGCCATAATCCTCCCCCACCTGGCCCTGCACTCTTCAGACACGACCATGGTTCCTGTTTTATTGCCTTTGAGTATCCAGAGCATCTGATTGCTCCAGGATCCAATAATTTAAGGTGCCAAGAACAGGGCAGGGTAAGGGGCCGCCACCAAGGGGCTGGGCCCAGTGGTTAAAAATATACCCACCACCATGCCCAGGCCAGAGAGGAGACCTGTGGTAGGGGTGGGGTTGTTGGAGGTCGCTGGCAGGAGGTCCAGAGGTGGAGCTGACCAGGCTCAGAGAGACTCCGTGAGCAGGAGAGGGGCACACGAGGTCAAGACGTGGAACACATGGCTGCCTGACTCCCGGAAAACGGGCACCGAGGCACAGGAAGACAGGCGATGAAGGTCAGCAGGACAAGGGAGGTGAACCACCACAGGCCCCAAGCCTGGCCAACGCCTGAGCTACATGATGCAGCATTTGGTCTTGTGTGCGTTCGGGTCTTTGAACCGCAGTCTCTGTTTGGGCCGGTATTTCTCCAGATAGGTGAGCTGCTTGCTGTTAATGGCACCACGACGCTTCCTGGGGAGATGGGGTCAGTCGGAAGGTCCCCCAGGCTCTGGGTTGGCCACTTGCCCATCCCACCACACACACAGGGCAAATAGGGCTGGTCCTTGAGGCCTATAGAACTATCTCTGCCCTGCATGGAACAGCCTTGGGCTACAGCACCCACAAGCAAAGCCAAGAGGTGAGATGGGGGGCACCACTGCCACCAAAGCCTGACTGTCTCAGTGCAGCCAGTCCTGCTCAGGACTACGTCCCAGAGCCTGGAGGGAAGCAGTATGGTGGACCCTGTGTACTGGTATGCATGCACGTGTGCCCATGTATGTAAGCATACATGTCCCAGTATGGGCATATGTTTGAAAGTGTATGTGTATATGTGTGCATACCTCTGTGTGTCGCCCAGGCCCATGCAGGGTACTTGTAGCTCATGTACAGCCAAGTCAGGCAGCAAGCTAGTGACAAGCATGCTTTGAGAAGAAGACAGCTGAGCCCAGGCAGAGGCTATCTCAGGGCAACACAAAAGCGTGCCCACCAAGAGCGTGTGTGTGCGTGCGTGTGTGCGTGTGTGAAACATGCATACACACTACATGCTCACACAGGCTGGGGGGCGGGCAGGATCAGCCAGTGCTGTCCCTGCCTGGCTGAGTAGGTAGATGGGAGCCTTCCCCAGGGAGGCCACCAAGTGACTAGAAGGTGGCTGGATAGAAACCTCCAAAAGTATAGGGAAGGGCCAAGCCAGGAACAACAGGCTAGAGGGTAACCAGACCCTGGTGCTGGTGTTCCTGGCCATAGATGAGACACTGGGAGGCTATGAGGCTCCTGCTTCCCACTGAGAGGCTAGATTATATCCAGGGTCCTCTGCACATGGCAGGGTCACCAGGTGTTATGGCTTGTATCTAGATATCCCCCCCAAAGCCTCATGCACTCAGGTGGGGCTGTTCAGAACTGGCTGTATCTAAGGTGTGCAGTACTAAATTAGTCCACTGATTGGAATTAGCATAGTTCTGGGTGTGGCTGAATGGATTTACTGAAGATAGATGCCTCACCCTAGGTCTGGGTGGCACCACGCAAAAGGCTTATAGTCTGGATGGGATAAAAGATAGAAGGCAGGCTACTGCTGCCTGCTGCCTTTTGCCTGCCACACCATGAACTATTTCGCCTCTGTGATGTCCCTCTGCCATGGCACCTTGCCTTGGAGCCAGCAGACTATGACTAAAACCTCTACAAACTGAGCTGAAATAAACCTTTCCTCCTTTAACTCTAGGTGTCAGGTATTTTGTCTCAAAAATGAGAAAAGTAATTAGACACCAGATGCATTAAGCAGATGGTATCTACCAAGGCAGGAAGGATGCCTCTGGCCAGCAGGCCCCAGCTGCAGAGGTAGAGCACAGCCATCCTGCACTCCTGAGGCTGCTGGCTCCCAGCTCCCAACTGTCCATAGATGGGTCAAGGCTGGTCCAGCCCTGCTGGCTCAGGTAGCCTCAGGCCAAGGGAACCACATGAGCAGAGAGGAGACCTGTGGTAGGGGCTGGATTGTTGGAGGTTGCTGCATCACCAGAGAAGAGTGTGTGAAGAGAGGGCCACAGTGACAGCCCAGGTCCCCGAGCACTTTCCCACTAGCCCCACAGCTGGCCACTCACTGCCGGATGAACTGGATGGCATCTTCATACTTCATCCCACTCTCGATGAGGGCCAGTGCCACCAGAACTGGAGCCCTGCAAACAGAGAGCAGGGCTGGGATCATCTGAGCCTCTGTACCCTGGCCCTCCCCTGAAGGCTACCTATTGAGGAAGCAGGGTATGAGGAGTGTTCACAGGGGCCAGACCCACCCCAGTTCCTTAAGCTCTCCTGTGAAGCCCACATACTTGGAGACTAGCCCAACTGCCTGGGTCCAGATCCTGACTCTCCTGTCCCTCCGGTGCAACCTCAGGGAGTTTGGACTGTCTCTCTGTGACTCACAGTAAAATGTGTCATGGATGGATAAACTAAGGCACACAAATGAAGGGCTTAGCTCAGGTATGTCCTGGGGTAAGGGCTCAGTACAGGCTGGCTGTGAACCCCAATCAACTGCTTCTCCCTCCAAAATGGGGGACTCCACTGCCCAGGTCCTTTCAAACAGATCCAGGCTGCTGATCCTGCTCTGAGCAGGCCCAGATCACAGGGGCACCCTTGTGCCTGCGGAGGAGCACAGGGCAGCAACCACTGCAGGAGGGAGCCAGGTCAAACTTTGGGAAGGACTTCCTCCCCACCAGGCCATTAGAGGACTTGTCCGGGAAGCCTCAAACTTGGGGCATCAGGCCCCTGAGATTCATGTGGACATGGCCCAAGTTGGAAAGTGAGAAAGCCTTTCAAGACCCCAAGCTCCAAGTGAGCTCCCAGCAATGGCAGCACCCAAGACTAGAGCCCTACTCCACCCCTACTCCTCTCTACTCACCGTCCCAGGCCTGCCACACAGTGCACGGCCACGCAGCTGCCAGGATCATTGCAGAACTTGGCCTTCAGCAGGCTCAGCCAGTCCTCCACCACTTTGCTGGGTGGGGGTGCCCCATCATCAAATGGCCAGTCCTGTAGGTGAAGCAGCCCATGAGCACCCCGACTTGTAGGGGCTAGAGTGGCCACCCTGGGACCCAGGACAAGGACAGTAGCCCTGGGAGGGGCAGAGAATGCCAAGAGCTGTGCCATGGGCACCTCGTTGTGAACACTGAGCTCCCTGAGCCCGCCTACTTCAGCTTTGCTCACCAGAGCGCCTTCCTGAATCACCCCATCTTCTCTGATTCTTGCTCCCAGGGAGCCCCAAGGGCCCTCTGCCCCCCTCTCTCAGCCCAAGGAGTGGTCTCTCCCATCTGAATGCCAGTGGCTGGCCTGAGAGGACCTGTCCCCTGCAGTAACACACAAGCCTGCCACCCCAGGCCTGCTGTATCCCCATCTCCCAGGCTGCCACGCAGCCCAGGAACCACCAAGAGTGAACAAAGGGCTGTGGGTGAGGCCAGGATTCTGAGAGCTGGACTCAGCACAACAGCTGGACCCAGGCCTTTCCGGGTGTTCCTGGGTGTTACTTCCACTTTGGAAATTTCACTTTGCTCCCCACTGTGCCCCCAGCACCCTGGGGAGATAAGGCCAGTCCCCATTGGAGGCAGCCAAGCCCAGGATGCACTGCAGGGGGACAAGATGTTCACACATTGGTGAGGCAGGTACTCACAAGCCCAAGGGACTACTCTAGAATAGGCACTGATTGCTATTGGGGTGAACCGACATTGGCCCATGGGGGCTGCCTGAAATCTAACCCAAATCCCTCCTGCTGCTGGGGAAGGGAAGGGAGGTGTGCCTTTGCCTTGAATCCTTCCAAGCACCTATACTTTCAGGTGAGGACCCTGACACTCAGAGTGGCCTACGGGGTCCCACAGATGGAAAAGGACAACGCTGAGATTGTGTCTAGGCTATGTGACCTCGAAGCACAGGTTCTTCTCCCCCACTCCTACTGCCAGGCAGTGGCTGCTACACATAGTAACAGCTGTGGACAAAGAGGAGACAGAGAGCCACATACCTGGCTGCCTGGAGTGCAGAGCCAGGGGCTGGGAGGACCCTCAGGGCTGGCTCTGGAGCTCCAGGTATTGTGGGCTAACCCACAGCTTCTGGCCACAGAGCTGCCCCATCCTCCACATAAAGCAGGTCCCTGGGGCCATGGGAGCCGAGGAAACAGCCCCGAGGGTGCCCCGAAGAGGGCCTCTCCAGCACCCCTGCTGCCCAGAGGTGGCCCCAGACAAGAAAGAGGTGGCAAGAGGCAGAGACAAGGCCCTGGGAAGGCCGTGCTCCCCACCAGGCAGGCCGTGGGGCTCAGGCCACCCCCACAGCAAGCACACCTGGCAGGGGAGGCCACATCACTACGTGAGCGCCACTCACCAGGGTCCCTCGTGTCACTGGCCATGTGGCCTCAGATCATGATGGACCCCACACCCTGCTTCCCTGAGATGGGACCATATAAGGGGCTGTAGGCCGCTGTATGACTGAGATCCAGTGGCACCTGGTGGGACACAGATACACCCCTGCCCCAACACATAGGAGGATCCGACTGCAGGAGCTATGGCTTTGACCAACAAACCCAACCCCTGTCTCATGGCCCAAGTTTGAGAAAAAGGATTCAGGAGGGGTGACTTTCTCTTAGTCACATGTCCCAACCTCTGGCCTCCCCCAGGTTCGCACACACCTGTGGCCCAAGCCCCCAGGGACACCAGAGAGGCCCATGTGCCAGCCTCTCGGCAAGAAATATCCACCCACCTGCCAAGCCCTGCCCCGGGGCAGCCACCGTGTTCCCTGAGCCCCCTCACCACAACAGTGATGCCGTCTTTCTCCAGTGGGGCCTTGTCGTAGGTCACCTCGCATACACGTACCACTGTAGTGGCGCCATACTTCTTCAGGTCCTGGCAGGGTGTGAAGAGGGAGCAGGTTAGGTAGGGCTGGGGGACTCAGGACCAAATCCCTGGCCAGGACATGGTCCAGTGCCCTCAGACCCAGGGCAAGATTGCGTCCCCCTCAGACCACCCCCTAGAGCAGGCTGTGTCCCCCACAGCAAAACTGTGGACTCAGGCCCGGTGACCAGCAGGTGGTCCAGCCTGATGTCCTCGTGCCTATTCCTCAGCCACCTGAAGAGAGGCAGGCATTCCCATCTACGTTCATTCACCATAATCCACACTCAGCTGCAACCCCCCACTGCATGTCACCTCTAGCCCACAATGCTCAGGACCCCAACTCTTACCTCATTTACTAGACAAAGGCTCTGGTCTCCCAGTGGGCAGGGCCCCCTCCTGCCTGGGCTGCATGAATGGGTCTCCGAGGGGCAGGGCCCACAGGCAGGGGGCCTCAGAGCCAGCAGGGCTGCACACCAGTGGGGAAACTCCGTGTTGACCAGCCAAAAGGTCATCAAGAGCACAGCCAGACTAGGGGTATTTATACCCAGGGGCGTAGGCAGGGCCACCACCACCCCCACCTGCTCCCAGCAGATATTCTGGGAGTGGTAAAGGATCACTGGGCCCTGCTGATCATGTGATGGGGACACCAGACAGAGAGGCCAGGACCCAGTTATTCTGAGAATACAGGGAATAAGAGGGGGGTGCCCACCTCTAAGGCCACAGGGACACCACAAATCCTTCTGTACCTTCAGTGGAGGAAGCTGCCATTCTGCTCAGGACTGAGCCCTGGCTCTGATCCTAATCATACTTGGGCCATGAACAAGGTCCTGCACTGAGCACTCATCCTGGTTACACCCTGAGCCCCCCAGCCCCAGTCACTCATAGTGCTTCGCTTACCAGTCCTTCCCCAAACCCTGCTGTTATCCCAAGGGTCTCAGCTCTGAGAGGGGATGGCTGCCCTCAGCAGGGCACTGGGCTCAGTGTCCAGGGTCCGGGCTTCCTCTATACAGTTCCCCAGGCCCTTGCACATCCACATCCCCATCTGACTATGACAAGCCCATGACAACTCATCTCACCTCAGGGCTGAGAGATGGGTCTCCAAAATGCCTCATGCAGTAATGGGCTCTGTAATTGGCACACATACAACTGCCAGCTCTGCAAACGGCCCTGGGTCTACAAACACACTGACAGCTCTAGTCTGGTCCCAGCACAGACTCTGCAAATACACCTGGTCACAAGTGTGGGGGTCTCGGGCAGCAGGCATCTCTTCCTGCTGCCTCTCCAGGGGTCAGTGGTCACTCCTTCCTGTGGCCAACTCAGTTCTAGCTGAGGCATCGTCCTATCACACAGAGTGCTCACCTCTCCGCCTGCCTGGATTCACACAACCTGAAGTCCCACTGTTCACACACTGGCCTCAGGGAACCCACTGGACCCGAGACTCCCCACTCCTAAGCCCCCCCCACATCTCCGTGTGCCCTTTCCAGGACCCTGTAACAGGTGTCTGAGCTCAGCTCCACGGAGAAAGGACTGGGTATGGACAGCTATAGATCCGCTCGCCAGGCTTCCCAGGCACCCCGCCCACCACCCACCCAGCCCCAACTCACCTCCATGAAGGCGCTAAGGGTGGCATCAGTGGGGTTGTGCGTGATAAGGAAGCGCATGTTTCGGTAGCTCACCTCCACCGGGGCAGGGCGGTTCATTCGAGCCATGCCTCCCCGAAGGCAGAGGGCAAGGCAGGAGGGGGCTGCAGACAGGGCTGGGATACAGCCAGATGAGCCCCCACCAGCCTCAGAAAACCAAGTAGAGCAAGATCCTTGTACTTGTCTGAGAGAAAGGATTTTCAAAAACCCACACCCACACCCTGAACCAATATTGTACAAATACTTGGGAAAGGGAAAGGAAGCTGCCCAATGTTTGGGTAATTAAAAAAGAAAACCCAACTTCTTCCCTCAAAAAAGGAGCAAAACAGTCCCCTAAAATAAAATGCACAATTCCAAACTCTTGTTTCTCAGAGCTGGCTGAGTATAAAGGGGATAACAACCACCTAAAAATTCAGCAAAGAACATTTAAAAATCCCCAAAGTGAATGCGGCCACCACACAATGTCCAGGGTGGGTCCTTTGCTGGGGACACTCTCTTGGCATTGGGGAACAGTCCCCTTTGCTCCAAGATGGGCCCCAAACCCCCAAGGTCTGGAGGAGGACTGAACTTGAATGGAACCAACTCTGGCAGCCCTGGGGCTGAGGTCACAGGAAGTCTCCGATGCACAGGCCCTTGGTCACGTTACCCCACTGGGGGACAGCAAGTCCTGGAGTGGGGAGGGGGCTCAGTCAGCAGGGCTGACCCCAGGCCTGGCACCAGAGGCCATCAGCAGGCGAGGGCAATGGTGAGGGCCAGAGGCAAGGGCTTCCTCGGCAGCAGGCTCAGGGGCAATGTTGGGCACGGCAGTGCTCAGAGCTGGCCCACAAGGGCCAGTCCATCGATTGCAGGCTGGTTCTCCACAGGCAACATCTGGGGGAGGAGAAAGAAATGAATGGCCTTCCTTCTGCCTCAGTTTCCCTACATGAAAACCCAAGGAAGGACAGGCCCAACCCAGGGCCTTAAGGAGAAAGGACAGCCAAGTACCGTCACCAGGATGAGGTGAGGGGGAACAGAGGAAGAGAAGGATGCCAGGCACAACCCCTTCCAGCATGCTGAACCCCAACAAGCAGACTCCTGGTCTACCTGCCCCCAAGCTTGGCCCTGCCTGAATCCCAGATATCCCACCCTACACATAGACACGCAGGACAGTCGCCTTTCCTCGGGCTTGTTGGCCACTGAGGAATGGCAGAGCCCAGATCACTCTGGACAGCCCACCCTTAGGGAGAATCGCTCAGGACACAGTATGAAGCCTACTCAGCTGGTAGCTGCTGTATCTTTCCCATCCTGGCCTCTACCCCAGCCCCTGCCCCTGATTACTCACAGACTGACCAAGCCGGAAGGAAAACAAGCTGCCTTACCCTTTAGGAACTCAGAGAGTACCAGCTGCCAGGCATGTGCCAGGGTGGTGACAGCACAGCTGGCCTGGAGTGAGGTCTAACCATGACAGGGCCCTGAGGAAGGATGCTGCTTGGGGTCATAAAATCAGCTGTGAGCACCTCCATCTTTGCCTCTCTCCCTCTCTGGATCAAACAGCTCCAAAGGTCGCCAGAAACATCAGCCCCCTCCTGCCCACAGAGGGGCCAGGAGACCTTGGGCATGTCACTGGCCTCTCTGGGCCTCTGTTTCCCTAGCTGCACAACAAAGGAACACAAAGGCTGCTTCCAGGGTCCCTCCACTGTGACTCAGTGGTTAGCAGATCCCTCCACACATGGATTCAGCCCAAGCCCCATTTCCCATTGCTCCTGTGTGTCCACAGCCCTGCCTCCTCTACCCAAGGAAAAGACCCCTCACAGGACCTCACCTGGCAGAGTCCTCCATCCTTCCCCTGCCCACCATCTCTTACCTCTGCCCCTGCCCCAGTGCCCCTTTCTCCAGCTGCCCAAAAAGTAGGTGGGCCCCCAGAGCCACAGCCAGGGTGAGGAAGGGTCACGGTGGGACCCTGGACTCAGAGGCACCACTGCTGGCTTTGAGCCATGGGCACAAGCCTCATTGTCCTAGCTCTGGCTGTGCAGGGAGGTATGAGCTCTTCAGCCTGCCCTCCATACCAAGGCAGGCTCAGTGCTTCCAGGCTCAGGGCAGGGGTTGCATCTACATCCTAGCCTCAATCCCCAGAGGGGGACCATCCAATAAGGGAGAACGAAAGGAGTCTTGTCCCTGGTTTAGCCACCCAGGTCCCCCAACCTGTGCCCACTTAGTTCGAGCAATGGCCCTGATGCAATGAGGAAAGCTGCCAGTAGTAAGAGCACACAAACACCTGGGGGCCTCCTGGGACTAGCATGAGCTTTCTTGCTCGCTCACTCGTGTGCACACACAGGAACCACACTCATGTTTACAAAAGTAAAGGAAGGAAAAGGCCCAAGGCCACCATGGGACTCTGGAGCCTCTCCTGAGAGGCTGACTCCATCACCTACAGGGGCTGGGGACCTGGTAACTCAGGGTTATATACAGCACTTAGCCTGCTCTGCTGCCCAGTACCACAGGACAGTGTCTCCAGGCTGACAGTCTGACTGAGTGACCCCATGCTGCTCTCATGGGGGCCCAAAGTTGTCGGAGGCCTGAAAGGAGCTGGGGTTAGACTGGGCTGGGTCAGCACCAGCGATCAGAGCCTGAGCTACACCAGGTCTAGGTTGGACCAGCAGGGCTGGTGTTTTGCACTGCCCCCCCCAACTTGCCTCTGCACTTTGGCCCCCCACCCCAGGAAAGCAAAGCAGGATGTGAGGCCCTCCTACCCCAGGCACCCCCATGTGGCCCAACCCTACCTGTGGCTGGCCACTAGGGAAGAGGCCCCTCTCTGCCACGCCCCTCCAAGGTGAGGTCACCAAGAAGCCCAGACGTTAAGGACTAAAGAGACCAGCTGCAGGGGGAGAGGCCAGGCTGCTGCCGTCAGAGCCCTGCACCCACCCCCAGGCAGAGCTGACCCAAGACCTGTGGTCCCCCCCACCATCCCTCAGTCCCAGTAACTCCAGGCTGCCCCACCCCCACCCCCACCCCGGGCACTGAGTACTCCCTGTGGCCCAAGCCTACGCTCCCCATCTGGAAAGCAAGCACAGGGCACTTGCCCCGCTCTGCTGTGAGCCTCTGCTGGCCCAGCCACCACGCCCACCACCCAGGCCACCTTACTAGGCTCAAGCTCCTCCTTCCCTCTGGCCCTCCCCTTCCTGGGATCCTGGCCCAGCCTCCTCTGGCCAGTGCCCCAGTCCTCTGCTTTTTGCAGAACCGCTCCTTTTCAAAACCCTTTAAGGGAGGCCCGTCTTGGTCCCTTTGCCAGATGAGGAAACAGGCCAGGGAGACACAGGATATTTTCTGGTCCTTCGCCGGACCAGGCGTGCGCTAAGTGGGCTTTCTCAACCTCAAGTCTAGGCAGCAAGAACACTGAATCCCAGAAGGAAGAAAAGGAGAGTGAGGTTCAGGGAGGCACAGCTAGTTAAGGAGTTTGAATCACCCGGACGTCAGAAAGGAAGAGGTCCTTCCAAACATGGGACCCTCTGATCCTGGAAGAGGTGGAGGCTTGGGCTCTGTGGCTTCCCAGGAGAGGCAGGGCTGAGGTCGTTGGGCTGGGAGCCCCGGAGGCCCCAGGTTCATGAGTGAGGGGCTCCTGGGAGCCGGGCGTTAGCGGGGCTTCCCACCGCTCACCAGGGTGCCACCAACCCGGGGTCCAGAGGATCCAGAGGGTCCTGCCTTTAGCGGGGCTTCCCACCGCTCACCAGGGTGCCACCAACCCGGGGTCCAGAGGATCCAGAGGGTCCTGCCTTTAGCGGGGCTTCCCACCGCTCACCAGGGTGCCACCAACCCGGGGTCCAGAGGGTCCAGAGGGTCCAGAGGGTCCTGCCTGGCGCACCCCCCCCCTACCCGGGCTCACCCGCGCCTGAGGGCTCCCCGCCGCCTCCATGCGCCTGCCGGGCGGGCCCCGCCCGAGACCCGCGGGGCGCGCCCTCCCGCAGCGCTGGCTCTGCCGATCCCAGCCCGGCTGGGCTATTTATAGCGCCCGGTGTCACGTGGGGGGCGGTGACCGGCCGGCGACCCGAATAGCGGGCTCCACACCTGCCGCCTAAAGATAGCCGCACCCCGGCCCGGCCCGCGGGAAACAAAGGGCAGCGGTGAGCTGGCGAGGAAGAGGAAGCGCAGCCGGCCGCAGGAAGGGGAGCGGCCGCTGGGCCTCCGTGGGCGCACTGACCACCGGGCCGGCTGCCTGGCCAAGCGGAAGGAAGGGCTGTCGCCCCAGAGAGGCGGGCGGCAAGAGTCCACGCAGCCCAGCGAGCACCGGGATGGCCCAGCCCTGCGGTCCCTACCCAGCTCGTCAGCCCACAGCAAGGATCCCTTCGGCGGCACGCACTGCTGTCCCCTTGCCTAATCCTCAGGTCACCCCTATGGATGGTTGCTCTCATCCTCCCAGCAGACAGCTGGGGAAACTGAGGTACTGAATCTAGGGGCACCTCAGGTTGCAGGGCCAGGGAGAATTTACCCCAGGAGTTCCTGACACACCCCTCTCCGTGCACATTGCCCCAGTCTCATGAAGACCTCCAGGATATCCCCAGAAGACCCTTCCCTGGGTTCCTAATCTCCCCCTGGGTTCTTGATATCCCCCACCAACAGTACCCTGGCTTGGCCTCCAGGAGCACAAGTCCAAGAACTCACGTGCTCCCCAGACTGTGGGCTCCAGTGGGACCTGATGTAACTGTCACCTCCACACCTGCCCTGGCCTCCGAGGCCCTCAGAGTGGGGTGCCCAGGACTCTCAGAGCCCCCTGTACACTGGGTCCCCTGAGGCCTCGCCTTGCTGGGAACTTAGCTCTGAGCCCAGCTCTCAGACAGACAGCCTGGCCCCTACAATCAGCAGTCAGCACAGGGAGGGGGTGGACCGGGAAGGCGGGCCAGGGGCCCAGCAGAGTACACGCCCCCCAGAGGCTCCACTAGAGCGCACCCACTTAGCCCAACCTGGCACAGCCATGCATTCTTCCCTTGCCTGCTGCCACCCACAGTGGGCAGGCAGGGGATGCAAGGAAGGTGGCTGTGCCCAGAGAGGAAGGACTCACAGGGGTTTGCCCCTCCAAGCCAGGCGGCCTGAGCTCCCTGGCGGGGTGCTGACCTGGCAGAGTCTGAGCACTGAGGCAGGCCTTGGCTCTTACCTCTTCCAGCAGCATCTCCCTGAGGCCTGAGGAGTGGATGGATCCGCTCTGGCACTCACTGCCTGGCCCTTCTGGACCTGGACCACCTTGGTGGGACACTGTGCCACCAGACACCAACCTCAGCCACACTGTACTGATAAAATACAGAACTGGACCTGATGGTGCATGCCTGTAGTTCCAGTACTCTGGGAGGCTGAGGTAGGAGGATGGAAAGTTCAAGCCCAGCCTAAGCAACTTGGTGAATGAGCGTGTCCCTGTCTCAAAATAAATTTTAATTAAAAAGGATCAGGGATATAGTTCACTGAAAAGGCTCTGGGTTCAATCACCAGTACCACCAGAGAGAGAGAGAGAGAGAGAGAGAGAGAGAGAGAATAAGATCATGTCAGCTCAGAGAAGCTAACAGTGTATCCAAGTCACCCGGCCAGGAACAGAAGAGCCATACCTGGAGCTGGATTTGGTGAGGCCCAGGGACCCTGTTCATCTGGACCCCAGCCCCTTGCCACCCAGCCTCTGCTTCCTCATACCTAAATAGGGTCCCTTATAGAGATACTGGCAAGTTCCAGGACCTGGAAAGTCCTGGGACCTGGGATCAGGACCCAGATCCCACCATGCTGCCTGGGCTGTACACATGGCCGGCATGCCTGCCTCCCACCTTGGGCCTAGTCCCTCGCCTGGGGCCTCTGGCCAGGCTTGGGGGCACCTGCTGAAGCTGGCACAGCCCCCAGCCTTTCAGAGAAATCTATTTATACCATAGCAGGAGTCGTTCCTGGAGCCCTGCCAGAGCCAGTGAGGCTGCCCTGCTAGGCGAAGGGAGAGGCTGGAGTGCCAAACCCACACTACTCCCCTAGGACATCAGCCCAGCCCTCATGCCCCTGCCCCAAAGCTCCCCCTTGCCTGTGCTGTCCCCTCTCCCCTGGGCCACACGCCCTTTACAGCAGCAAATCCCAGCCCCAGGGAAGGTATCCTAACTTGGGGAGGAGGAAGTCTTTGGCTCCACCCCGCCTCCCCACAAGGCACCAAGAGGGCCCCACTTGTTTGTGGAAAAAACAAATGACCCAAATTTCTGGGCAGAGGTCCAAATCTGAGAAATATCCAGAACCCATCATGGGGTCTCACCCCTCGAGGTCTGGAGGAACCTCAAAGGTCACCCACGCCACATAATCCCCAGCTAGATCGCTCACCTCCAGTGACGGGGAGCTCACTGCTCATTGGCAGCCCTTGTGCTTTCTGCCTTCTGTAACTCCGCAAGTTATCAGTCCTTTTCTCTAGTGCTCCCGGGAACCGTGGCTGGGGTGGGGACCAGCAAGAAAGCCTCTAAGCAGAAGCCCCAGGCAGTAGGTAAACTGGAGGAGCTGGCCAGAGGGCAGGAGGGCGTAGTCCTGGTCCCTAGGGTCATGTCCTCAGGGTACAACCTGAAACTAGCACTAGCCCTGCCTGGACTCAAGGTCTCCTCTATAAATGGAGATGTTGCCAGGGAGGGAAGCCACCTTCTGAGGAGGAGCCAGCTCTAAGCTGATCACGAGGCCCGGGGTGTCCCTGGAAGCAGAGGTGTTGGGAGCGAGCCTGGGTTTCCGCCACGTGGCACCTGTTCTCCCCACTGAAGACCTTGAGACAGACGAGCTGGCTCTAAGGGTGCTCCCCAGGGCTCAGCGGCTGCCACACAGGCAGCCCTCCCCACACACGTCTAACAGTGCTCTGCGGGGCATGGTACCAACTTGCTGAACCCAGACCTCCCCAAGACCAACCTCACCTGTCTACTTCATATCACAAAAAGATAATTTTTTAAAAGATTCTAATAGGTATGGAGAGAAGAGAGACTCAACTACAAATAATACCAAAAATAGATCAGAACAAAATTATTACAAATAATAAAACATAATAGTTTGGCCAGGGAAAAAATATTTTCATTATAAAAGAACTCACCCTTTCCCAAATGGTGCCCTAGAAAAACTACCAGGAGCATGGAGTACTATGTAAACTTGACATTCTTCAAAAAGTACTTACTGTACTGTACAAGCAGGCAGTACTCTGATTGTATAATGCTATCTAAGAACTGATCGACAATGTCTCATGACAGCAGAAAGCAGTAATAGAATGGTAAGTGAAGAATGATGGAAGTCAGAGCCCTACTTCTAACCATCATCAGTACTTCCGATGACTTTGCTTCTGGCTGCTTGGACAAAACAAGGCAAAAGAATGGAGAAGTATGTGAAGGGAAGAGAGCAAAGCTGCCCATGTGGTAAGCCACCAGCACTGCCTCGCAGGCCACCACTCCACCACAGGCCAGGGGACTATTGTTTCTTCTGGGGGCCAATGGATACATGGACACTAGATTATGGCTGAGGCACTGGGCTCCACCCAAGCTGTCATTAGGTCAGCAAAGAGCACGGGGCCAGGCAGCTGGGTGCTGCTCCCAGGCACCATGGCTCAAGGTCATGAGGACTTGATCCCTGCTAGGCCCACCCTAAGCCACATGGCCTTCAACCACACAGGCGAGCCTGGCCTCCAGCAGGCACTTCAACCACCCAGGACATCCCACACCAACATAGTCTACTCCTTGCCCTCTCCCAGGCTCAGCATTGCCAGGCATCTCTCTGTGGTCTCCCCCACTCCCATCCCAGACCTCAGACTCCCACTGAGGGGGAGCCAGCCTTCATTCATTGCCTCATTCATCTGATCTGACAAGTATGTGTGGAGCACCTTCAGGTGCTGGATGCTGGGAAGTGCTGACAGATGCCAGGGAAGAAGTAGACAAAACAAGCAGTCTTCCAGACTGGCTCCCAGAGCCCTTTCCCACTGACCTATGTATCATTACCCCACCCTTCCACACACACACTTTTCCACCCGAGACCAAAGACCCAGGAGCCCCAATTTACACAAGGCCAGGCAGACAGGCCTGAGTCCTGGTGGTCTGTCCTAAACCTGGTTCCTTTTCTTCCCCTGCCCCAGTGAATCATGTGGACGTCTTCTGCCCAGAGTCCAGATCCTGGCAGGTTTCGAGACCTGTGGGATAGCAAGAGCAGATGGCAGGGACCATGGGACAGATACCCAGCCAGGAGCCTCTCAAGGAGTCCTGATTGCACACAATTAGGACCAACCTAAAAATCCAGGATAGTTTAGAACCTCATAGGAGCTACTACACCCAAGGTAACAACAGATGACCAATTAAGCTGTTTCAAAATAACAATAAACATTAATAATGGAGTACCTGCTTCTTAACAGAGCCCAAAGACTATAGGGCCAGCAGGTCTTAGGGCTTCTCTACTCACTAGCTGGGGGTGGGAGTCTGTGGCTCTGAAGTTCCGCTGAGTTGTTCCGTACAGTAGGGCTCACCAGCCTCACAGTGCTGATTACAGCACCATCGGGATCATAGTCAAGATGAGGGGAAGCGAGGGGGCCACTCCCCTGCTGCAGAGGGCCTACTCAAATTCTTCTTGTTTAATGGCCATGCCAACCTCAACTCCAGTCTGCAGAACCCAAGGGCACCTGTGAGCCGAATGATCCAGGGCTGTCCTAAAGTGATAGTTCACGACATCTCCTTTAGGAAAAAGACCAGTGATAATAGATAAACTACACAGTCACTGTATGATGATCTTGTTTAACAAAAGAGGATATAGGCAGAGAGGTCAGGAACTATCCCAGTGGCAGAAATCAGGCTAGACCCCACCTGCTAGACCCCAGTCGTTGCACTGCCCCTGGTGGTGATCTCACTTTCTCATGCCATAGCCAGTGAAGTGCCTGGGAGTCAGTGCCTTCAGCAGGGGACACAGGCACCAGCCCATCCTAAGACTGGGCACCACAATGTGTGGAGGGAGCTCAGAACACATCACCATGTACAAAGGACCATAGGAAAGCAGAGGTTCCCACTCCTTCCTGTTTGAATTCTGCAGGGAGAAGCTTCCACTCTGGCCACGAGGGCAGTACCCTTGCCCTATCAACTCCTTGGAAGTCCTGAGACTCCCAGCTGCATGGGCTTGTCCCTTGTGGTGCCATCTCTCTGAGGTCTGCCTCAGGGCCAACGGGGCTGGCAACACTCACAGGTGCTCCTGTCCTCTGCGCTCCAGTCCTTGCCCTCCGTGGCTTTATCCCACCTGCCTGTCAAAGGCTTGGTGGGAACTAGGGCAAGATGGGGGGCTCTGGCTGGCAGCTGCCCGAGCAGGTTGGTATGCAGGATCTTAGGCTTTGCAGACACCCTGGCCTAGTGGCAGAGCCCCTCCCATGTCGGGCAGGACACAGGCAGGGGGAGGACAGTCCCCTGGGCCCTGTGATGGTGGGATTGAGCCTGGACTCCAGCTGGAGCTGGGCAGCCTGAGCGCACCAGACATCGAGCCAATCCCAGTGACCACTCCCACCACTAAGGCCCTGTCACCCTGACAGGCAGAAGCCTCAGTCTGTCCCAGAGCTGGCTGTGGTCTCCAGGCGTTCAGTTCATGCCGGGATCCACACTTTCTCCACTGGAAATCAGGAGAAAGTCTGCGGGCGCTGTTCCCCGATCCTGCCCTGACCTTGCACAGGCCCCTAGCCATGCTCGCCCAGCCCCCATCAGACACCAAACCAGTTCCTTCCAGGAAGTGAAACCCACCAGTGGGGGAGGGGTGGTCCTGGCTTCCGGTGCCCAGTTACCTGCCCCTCCCTCATCAGGATGCTGCCCAGCCATTGTGAAATGAGAGGTTCTCTAGGGGCATCTCGGGCTGAACAGCCTCCAGAGCTGTGCCTCCTGGGGACAGAGAGGCCACCGAGAAGTTCATGTTTATCTCTGTCCCCTAAAGAGAGCTACAGGGCTACTCCTAGCCTTAGGAGGGGCCCCACAACCCTGCCACCCCTGCCTGGCACCCCCATTCACATATCTACCTCCCTACAGGCTGTCAGCCCCCTGCCAGGCACCCCACCCCAGAGAGGGGCTTTTCCCAAGAGCCATGGACGGACCAGACTTCCTGCACCTTGCCCAGTGCCCAAAGCCCCCCTTAACACCTAGGCTGTCTATCATTTCTGCACCCAAGGCACCCAGTCTGGCCCATCAGGCCCTCTGACTCACATCTGCCACCAGGCCTTAGCTCCTGCTGGGCCTCTGGCTGCCATTTTCCCTCCCTGCCGCCACCTCTTCCAACCCAGCCCAGCCTGAACCTCCCCTGCCCCCACCCCCTTCTAACGGCACCTATGCCTCTCTGGGATGGTCCCAGAGGCGAGGCCCACCTGGATCATCCACCAGGCTAGGCCCCTGCAGCAAGGTCATATCCAGTCACATTTGCCTCTCCCCACTGGAGATGACAGACCTCCAAGGATCATGGCACACAGATGAACTGTTCAGCAGAGGGACGGGTCATCCCCACGCTCCCATCCACTGCTCACTGCCCAACTCCCAGTGCGACTGAGAGCCCAGCATGGACACGGGCCTGTAGGGAACTCTGTGCACACACATATGCCACACAAAGGGGTGACCAAGTCAGTCTCTGAAGCAGCCTGGCCCACAGCGACCACCAGAGGCTCCAAGGCACTAAGTGCTACGTGCCCTCAGGTCCCTCACTCCTTTTGCCTCTCGCCTGCCTCCTCTACATGGACATGGAGTGGCCATCTTTCGGAGGCCCAAGGTCCTGCCTGGCGCCTGAAGCCTGGAGCGGCAGGCAGACCCCCACTGCAAACCTGAACCTGCCACCACTCCTCCCCAGGAGGCCCAGCCTGGTCCTGCATGAACACTCAGGACCCTACTGAGCTTTCACAATAGCGCCTTTGCTGGGTGTGGTGGTACATACTTGGAATCCCAGCTACTCAGGAGGCTGAGGCAAGACTGCATGTTTGAGGCCACCCTGGGCAACTTAGCAAGATCTTGTCACACAAAAAGAATTTCTTTTTAAGTGCTGGCAATGTAGCTTGGTTGTAAAGCCAAATGTAAGGCCTTCAATTCAATCTCCCATACTGCAAGCACATGCACACGTACACACACACACATACACACACACACACAAATGACCCCTTGGATACAGGTGGGTTCCCAGGCCACACCCATCTGTATTCATGTGTCCGGGCTGGCCCTGCAGAGTCGAAAGCTGAGCTCCATAGGCCCTGGCACCTGCCACCTGCAGCTCAGCCTCCTGTATATAGAGCCAGGGATTTTGGTTATGGGATGCTGCAAGTCGTTTCCCATAATGAGCAGGGAATTCTAGGGTACAGGGTGTCAACCCAGGAATTCTATGGCTCCAGGATCCGACATGGAGGAAGCAGGCTTTGAAAGCTGGCCCTGCCCCTGGTATTAACCTAAATGTCCAAGGGTTCTGGTGCTTTCCCCCTAGGTCCCATCAAGCTGGCGCCAACTCCTGGCACTGTGCCACCCATTCTCTAAGGTCTCAAAAGGCCAGTTCCCAGAAGAGGGAATGG